CATAATTTGACCTGAAAATTTGGGTTAATCCTTAACCTAGTTCTTGCCAAACACGAAACAATCCATTACTAGGCCAGGATCAATCCTAAATAGGTTTTTATTGGTTGTCAAAAAAATCAGTTACAGGTTTAAGTTCTCTTAACTAAAGTTGACCTTTAAATTGAAAGAAAGAAAGGAATGTTCCTTCCTAGTCGTCATTTGTGGAGCCTGATTCACTTGAATTCAAGGCACCTGTTGTTGTTGCTAACGCCAGGTACATAAAAATCTCTAAATATGAAATAATAGGAAAATGCATGCTATGCAGAAGTTACGTGAGAAGTAAACTTTATGTGCTTACTTTGCCATCATTTTCCTCTGCAGAAGTTCAAAATTCTAAGCACAACAAGATATAAAACCAGAGCTTAAAGAATAAATTTCCTTCGTGTACTTACCAAGTGCATATGGCTTCTTAATTATGTTCGAAACGACCTCATAAGAACTTCCAATTGAATACTTCATCCCTCTAAGGTTCAAACTCAGGTTCTGTAAGAGAACTTTTATAGCCTTATTGAATCCTAGAGCCAAATCATTTAATGCCTCGATGCAACCACCTGTAGGGTTTAGGCTTCTCGGATACGGACAACATCCAATAGGTGGGACATCAACTATCGCGAATTTCCTTGCACCAAGGTTGTACATTTCCTGCCAAATTTATATAAAATATTTTTGGTTAAACCCTTCAAGCATTTTTTTTATAGGGTTAATTGCACATAGACCCCATGTAATATCACTTTTTTCCCCTTTTCTGCCTCTCTTACTAACTATGCAGTTTCATTGTTGCACAAGAACCCCCTAGTTAAAAAAATTTGCCTCTTTTACCCTTGTTGAAATTTTTGCCTCTTTTACTACCTATGTAGTTTCATTGTTGCAGAAGGACCCCTCAGTTAAACGTTTTTCTTCTTTTACTCTTGTTAAAAAAATTCTTCTTTTACCATTGTTGAACTTTTGGCAGAGATTGCCCCCTGGGTGAAATTCATGAATTTATCTCAGGGTAGAACTTTTGGCAGAGATTGCCTCCTGGGTGAAATTCATAAATTTATTTGAGGGTAAAAGAGTCAAAAAACATTAAGCCAAGGGGTCTATCGGAGACAATGAAACTGCACAGGTAGTAAGTTTAAAATAACAATACTGCAGGGGTGTGGTAGGTTTAAAATAACAATACTGCAGGGGTTTCATGTGCAATTAACCCTTTTTTAAATACTTAAAAGAGAAAATGATTGTAATAGAAAGATCACCTCCAGATGGCCCTGACAAGCTGAGACAAGAGTAGCTATGAATAGCTGTTTTTGAGTAGCATTAGGAAACTTGTTTTGTGAGAAGTAGCCAAATATGTCATTGCCTCCAGTGCTAATGAGAAATATGGATTTAGAGAGCATAAGGTTTTTTGCATCAATTGTCATTCTCATGGAAAGATTTGATTGTATTGTTCTAAAATGTCGTATCTGCTCTGTCATCGTAATAGTACTCCCCTGCAAAATGTATTAGTGACAAAAAAAAGTGGTTATTTGGTTTAAAAAATTGTTAAATAGAAACTAGCACAAGAATATAAGAATTAGGTACAGTTTTTGTGCTCACCGTGGAGTCTAATATCCCTGAACCTCCTGAAGCAAAATTTACCCCCTTTAATCGATTCATACTAATCTTACTTGCAACATAAAGAAAGGGTGGAGGACTCCTCCTGAAGCCCATATGCATGGCTGAATATATAACACACAAGCAAGAAAAATTTAACACAAACATATACAAATATGGGTTTATATGTATAACACATTGTTCGTATACTATCCCTACCTTCTCAAGTAATTTGCTGTCAAGAGATGCTAATGAGTCCATGATAAATACACACAGCACACAAAGGAGGATTTGTCGTGTAGAAATATTGAAATTATTACCAAATACAACTTTTCAATACAATATCAGCTGGGTCTGGCATTGATCTATTTGGTTCGGCTGAGTCGATCGTTTTCACATTTGTTAATGCAGCATTTCAATACAATATCCAGCAGTTTAAGCTGAACCTGTTTAAATCCTGTGTTAGAGAGATTAGACGATTAACATGGAATCATTGGGAGAAAGATCTCCTCCACCACTTGAAATATTATATAATTGTCAGATTTTCTAG